CAGAGGATACTTGGTCAAAGACCGGAAGTCGTGAGCTGCTTGAGTCATATGTAAAAGAATCGTTTCTGGCCATTCCCAAGTGAATGGCGATCAGAGACTTTCCTCACTGGCGTGAACTTCTACACATGACCCCATCCTCCAAAAATATGAATTTTTATTATTCCCAGAAATACGTTTGGGAAAAAAAGGACCTWTCTTCTTTGTTAATATCTTATTTTTCCCAGAAATACGTTTGTAAAAAAAAGGATCCTAATCATCATTTTCCTCATAAAAGCTACGTCAGCTACCTATCCGACGGCGTTTCGCAATGTGATAAAATAAAGTTTTCAAGAGCTCAAAGCATGCGCTACATCAGCTCGAACCTACCCACCATTGTATAAACCTACAAGTAACCAATCCTTCATTTTTCACTAACACATACGCAAAAATCTACAACAAATTAAATGTTTCCAATTTTATAAAAAAAAATATTTATATAATATTTGTGTAAAATCTATGTATTTGATGTGAGAATAACTCCGCAGTGTTTCTCATATCTTTTCAGACAAGCCTGGGGCATAGGATATATTCGTTGTGTAGATAAAGGGAACTGCGAACTCTTGCCAGTTGACGAGTGTGAGTCATTTTATAATAGCTCCCTCAAAAGCGCCTGCAACCACGCTTTGGTTTAAAATACCTTTTGGCAAACTTTTCAAAGTTTACCAAGACTACCAATTCTATCTGATTTCAAAATATACAAATCGAGGTAAATGTGGACGAAGAAGAAACAGCTTTCTACATAAAAATGCTTTTATGTATTTTTGCGGTATTATTAAATATTTTAAACAACATAATTGTTTAATGCCCTTGCCAAGATTTGATGGCTATACAATGCTACCTACCCTACGCCTTTGCGCAAATGAATATGTTATGATAACAAATGCCCACATACTGATTTGGCAATGGCAATAGCAAAAGATTTGACAGTAAGACATAGATTTTATCCGGTCGAGATGCCCCGTAATGGCGATAAAAGAGTCTCCGTTTGAACATAGTATAAACGAAAGATATAAATCATTTTCGATTTTTTTTTACTAGTATCCATTGATTAAGGCAGTCATTTTGTTATTTTACTAATTTTGAATTGAAAAATGTCTTTAGAGTGCAGTATATGCTTGGAAGATTTCGAAAACTCCGTGGATGTGCATAGTACTGATTGCGGCCATATTTTCCACAAGGAATGTTTAGATCGCTGCAAGAGCAAGTAAGGGTTTTTTATAACTTTTCTATAGAGTGAAAATATTGAAGTTATAAAATTAAAATGATCAGGAGCAAAGGGTATTTAAATATACACTTTGATTTTGTTATTATCTTATAGAAATATTCGAAAATTAAACAACATAATGGTCTTAAGATAAACCCACCGAATACACTTTAGGACTCTGATTTAGATTAGGAAACCCCGGGTTATTCTAATTTTGGGTGAATAGATCGTAGATAATAGTAACTCAATATTAATAATTAAATTTATTGCAGGTTCATAATTTTTAAGATATTTGCTAATGAATTTAAATGTTTCAAAGCATAGATATGTAAATTGAACCTCCAATTTTTCTGGGACATCAAGAAGCATACAGTTTGAACTATTGTGAGAATTATACGACAAACTTCGATTCTATTTGTAACATGGAGATACGTCAGAAGGCTGAGAATGTAAATTTTAGAATAGCATCGGGTAAAATTTAGAATAGCATCCCCGAATTTCGAGGATAAAATGGGTGTCATTGGAAAGGTGACGTTCTCCAGATCACGAAAATATATATATATAGTTGCCGCTGACTTATAGTTTTAAAGATATTTGCATTTAAAGTTAAAAAATTTACAACTTTAAAATGGTTAGTTG